TAATAATAAAGGAGGCATATAGTACAATATCAATTTGAAATGGGGAATAATGACAGACTTTTTAATGAATGTTAAAGACACCAGATACCCAAACACGAAATTTTGGTGAGAAGTAAGAGGCTTGGTCTCATAAATTACCGAAAGCCCTTCTAATGATGTGTACACGTTTCGAAAACTTCATTTGCATTAGAAGTCCACAAAATGGCCTTATTGAGTATTTTTTTTAATCCAAAAGTGTATAGAAAAAATGGTTAACAGACGAACCAAGTAAAAAGATGAGAAAACATAGGTTTGCATGAAAAATACCCTGAAGCATGTAACAATCATTTTCTCCCTATCTTCCCTGACATCAAAGTCTAATGAAGTCCAACTGTAAACTGATAGTACTCAGGGTTTTCTTGGTCTAACATATTCCTTCTAAATGATAAATATCAAGCAAACATTATCAGGAGAACTCAAGTTACTCAATCAAATAAGTGGAATGGTGTACATTATATGTAAAATGTATTATGGAAACATTATCTTTTCTATTCCACAGATGTAAAACATTATCAAGCCATTCAAGCATGCAGCAGTCAATTGTAAAACATCCACATTCAACCAAAGCACAAAGTAATAAAAGTAAAAGTGAATCGCAAAAGAAAAACCCACATATTGCGTCCCCATTTTTCAACAGCAGCTACAACTTTAGGCTCAGAGCCATAGCCAGTGTTCTTTAGATAATAACCAACAGTTTCTTTTGTTGGGTAAGGAAGCTTGCAGAAAGTCTCCTTCTCCTTCGAATAAATAAATCTTTGTTTTCTGAAATCAAAGTAGATCTCCTCAGTATCCACTGCAGATACAGAACCTGCCAGCTGCAAAGCAAAGAGTTAAGGTGACTGATAATGAAAAGAACAGATACTAGAATTTTGAAAAACAAAGTCAGAATCAGAGTGCAGGGAAGACTGTACACTGAAGAAACAGTTCTTCCCTTTTCTATGAAAATCCAGTTTTCATTTCTCAATGAAAGAATATGCAATCAAATAAAATTGGAATTGGAATGATATGGAGAAGATTAGCAATGCCCTTGCACAAGGATGATGCGCACGAACCAATAAATAATCCAAAAATACAATGGAAATAAAAAGTAAATAAATAAAAGGAATTCCAAAACAACAGGAACAAAAAAAAAAAAAAAAAGAGGAAAAAGCTAACAAACTACAAGAATTACCCATGGGACAAATATCTTGAACTAAAATCTGTTCCATCCAAAATTCATAATTTTTAAATTACGGTGTCCATGTAGAACTCATTTCACTCTCGTAATTATTCTGGTCACCATAACAAACAACAAGAAGACAATCTGATGTATACTTGCTAGTTAAATCAAAAATAATTTGTATTCTTATTTGTTCGAGTTGTTTAACTAGGTTAGTAGAAGGTTATTATCAGGATTGACCTTAGATTAGTTTATTGTTATGTTGATAATTATAAACATTCATCTACCATGAACAGTGGTCCTCGTACATAAATGCTTGCTGATTGACATTTGCCACTATATATCTTGACGTTCAATAAAAAATAAAAAATAAGTTCGCTCATTCAAGATTTTGATATGCACCCCACGCTTTATCAAAAGTAAATATTTACAATGCCTAATTTAAAATTTCAATCAAGATCTTGATATGCATGCTTAATCACTTACAATCTTACGAAAATGAAGCTGAACAATTTCTTTCGAGCCTGAAAATTTTGCAGGAACTATCTTGCATGTATCAGCATGGTAAATATCATTAACCTGCATCTCAAAAGAGCATCATGCAAAAACATAAGATATTTACAAACTATATTGCTTTCATTTAAATTAAATATTAAGCCATAATCAAGTACATTTCAAAAAATTTAACTAATCCGAGTAATAAAAAAGTATGAGAAAAGAGATCAGTTTGAACTTTAAAAATATAAACTTTCTAAGTGAAAACAGTAGAAAGCACGTCAACCATGGAGGAAATGGTTTTTCCTTCTTTTCTCTCTTTGATGGGAAGTGATCGAGAATTGTATCAATGCGACAAAAGGGAACAAGGAAACTTCCTCCCATAGAATACTATCATAAAAAGACTTTCCAAGTCGTGTAAAGACTACAAATTACAAAGAACCCTTGTGGTTTTAGCTCCGCCAAGGAGCCAAATGTTGCATGACATACACAAAAGAACCATGAGTATTCACCTTAACCTCAAAAATTCTAAGGTTCCACTCCTTCCATGTTAACCAAAGGGTAGCTCTCACTGCAAACATCCAAAGGACCTAAGACTTACCATCAAAATGCCTCCCCATTCCCTACCAGAATTTGCATCAGCCAATCATCAACCCTTGGTAGACACAAGGGAAGTTCAAACTCATTCAAAAATAGTTCAACACAAGCAGGGAGAGAGAAGGAGGAAGAGTGAGGCAAAAATTAAGCAAAATGACACCATCAGGGTTCTATCCACAAACTAACAAAAGTTAACTGGTATAATAATGGTGGTTAATAAAAACGTTCCTTGGGCAGATTGGAAGGGAAATTTTCTAAGGAGGTTAAATTTTTATCTGGACGCTCAACCATGAAAGCGTTAATAAATCATATGCAATGATAGACTAAATTACCTATGTGAAAACATGGCTTTAAATCCAAGTTGGGGATTATCTGTATGAGAAATAGGAACGATCAAGCTCAAATCATTCTCTTCGTTGATTAAGCAATAAGATTTAGACACTCATCCAGTGTTCCAAATTTTCATGGTGACCACTCAATCAGGGTAATATCTCTAAACTGGTAACCAGAGATAGGCAAAAGTGTGAAGATTCCATGCACTAATACTGCAAATGCAATCAATTGGGGTCTATGGATAGAAATATATGAAGGATTATTCAATGGGAAAAAGTACTCAATCAAGGAACAGGGATTCTAATTTGCAACCAAGCAACATGAAATTCAATCAGAGAAAATGGGTAATTTGTAAACTCCTACTGAAAGTCGAACTATTGAATACACACCCTCAAATCCAGCAGAAACATAGAAAGATAGAAAAAGTGATATTTTACAGTTATGCTGCACATATGCAGCTAAACATACTGCAGGCAACAACATGACAAGTCTACATCTCAAATGCAATGGCAATGCATAAGCATCATCAAATGCAAGTACGAAACTAACGAAAGAAAAGAACGATGGTTGTAAAACGGCACCTGACTGTACTGAACAAAACATTTGAAATCAACAGACCAAGCAGTGAAAAGCAAGAACAAAACATGAAGAGCCGCCAGTCCACCTAAAACAATGACAGCATCCCCGAAGTCTATACTAGGAACCACGACGGCAAGCCAGGCCACATAAAGAATGGCGAATGGCCACAGATCCAACCGCCATGCCCAGTGTTTCTTTCTCAACAAGTCAACTCTCTCGACCACCTTCCCGCCCACTTGGAATCTTAACATCTTTCTCAACTCTGCTGCTCAATTCGAAGATTCGCAAACGTGGACCATCTGGTAATCAACGAGTGTAAATCGATCAGGTTGAGATCATGAAAGAGAGAAGAAATTGAAACGACGAATTGAATTGAGACCGGAAATGAATGAATCGGAAAATACCAAAGAGATCGGCGGGAAGCGATTGAATCAGCAGAGCAGCTGGGATTTTGTTTAAGAGATGAAGAGATGGTTTTAGATTCATTGCTTGTTTTTTCTTTGCTTTTTTTTTTTTCTTTTTTTAGCTCACTTTTTATTTTATGCATTAATTAATTATAAAACATTGACCATATGAAATTTATAAAATTGGATTTTTCTATTAAAAAAATCTTTTTTTTTTTTTTTTTTTTTTGGTGTCTTATGCAGATTTTCAAATACATTAAATTAAATGTATTTAACACAAATATTTATTTGGCATTTTATTTAATGCTTTGGATCTTGTGAACAAATTAATGAAAAATATAAAAACAACATGAATTTAAAATTTTAACATTAAAAAAAATTAAAACTTTGATAAATATATTAATTATTTTTTTTTTGTTGTTATAACAATAATAAATACATCGTTGATTAATACACTAATTAATCATTGAATAACTCTACAATAATCAAGTTTATCAGCTTCATATCGTATATAGGAAGGTTCTATAATTCATTGAACTAACAAGCAAAAATTTATTCGAGCAACGACGAATGTTGTATTAAAGAGTTTAAATTACAACAAGTTAATTATGAAACATAAAGTTTGATAGTAAATCAAAAAATTTGCTTACAATATAATTATATATACATATATTTATTACAATTTAATTTAATTTCATAATTCTTTTTTCCATTATTTATTTTTTTAATAACTCTTATCAATAAAATTTGGAGGCTTGCAAATATAATTTTTCAAAATAAAATTGAATTGCAAATTTAAATTCAATTTTTTGAAATAAATAAATAGACGTTGTTTTACTTTATTAAAAATAAAAATAAAAAAAACTAAATAAATGACCTTTAACTACATGAACCAACTGAACCCAATATTCTATCATTGAGTTGGGTTGGGTTCATTATTTAAAACCCGAACAATTGAGTTGAGTCTAAAAAATTTCATAACTCTCGAACCCAATCCATGAACACCTCTATCCAACGGGTCTATTGGTTATACTCCCTCATATGTTTACCACTAACTCATCCGAACAAACTATCAACTAATTACGACTATGCCACAACTTGTATCCTTGAAGTCTTGTTTAAAAGCTAAAAGTACAAGAAAATAAAGAATTTGTGCTTAAAAACAAAAGCTGACTGTTCTTAAAAAGGAAGGAAAATGAAGATGAAGAACCGTCATGATATTGCGTTCTTACGAGACATACATACGTAATACTTTCATATCTTTCATGATCAACATACATGACTTACCAATGTCTCAAAGACATAGAGTAAACATATTAACATAGTTCACGTTGCATGACATATGGAGGTTCATGCATCATACAACATTGATATCACAACATAGTTTCATAACGTAGAAAAAGCATATCATAGTATAACTTATAACATAGCATAACATGTATCATAGCATAACTTATGTCATAACATGAATCGCCATATTATATAACACGTCAAACAATCCTAAAACATGACACGTGCAAGGGCCACAGCGCACGCATCATTCATACAGCATACAAATCATCCAACCATACAAATCATCCAACCAAACTAACAGTAAAGCCACTTATTTGGTTAGCCTAAGTCGGAGTCGTTAATTATTCCTCTTGAATCTGCTCCTCAAAGTCCAATTCAACCTACATGGGCCCACGACATTGGGTTAAGGCATAATAAACGACTTAATTCATCTAACGGTATCAATTAAGTCTACTTTTGGCTCAAAAATAACTTAAATTGAACAACTAATGGCCAAACTAACCTCGAACGCTTCCAATAACGTCAAAATCGGCTATGATTGATTCTTATGCACTACGTGATGCTATGTTTGATGGATTTATATGTTAAGTATGATAGACTTAGTATCCTATGTGTTGATTGATAGATTATGCCACCCTAAGGACATGAAAAGGAATACAAGAGAATGTCGAGATCATCAAGTGTCGAATTCAAATCTAAATCCTAGGCATTGGTCGTGACAAATGGTATCAAAGCAGTACCTCTCCTAGTAAGATGTGGTTTGATGATGAACCAAGATGGAAGCTGGAGGGCATGTGACACCTTAGTAAATAAGGGATACATGAATAAACCAAGACCATATTCGAATGAAAGCGAATCTGAGCATAAGATGACTAAGAAAGGCTTAAAAGAATTGCAAGCCACTAACTATACCAACAAAGTGCATCTTGCTTTTAGATGGCTCAGTTATAAGAATTTCAAATTTAAGCGTATTTTGTTTGGAACAATTCTATGTTGGGTGACCTTAGAATTTCCTTAGGATGCATGTGATTAAGGACAAAGCATGCTATAAGGAATTGTGTTGATCTGATGAGATAGTATTTACTCTTATAAACAAGCAAAGAGTAAGTATGTGACCATGTCGCAGATAAATGTCGAGGCCATCAAGTATTGAATTTGAATTCTGGGCATGATTCATTACAAAAAAACTCAAGCCCACTTTTAGTATCTCTTTTCTTTAAAGAAAACGTTCTAAACCAAATGATTTGTGAAAAGAAGTAAAACCATCTACTAACAATTAGTAGATTCAAGAGACAAGCGTACCTCTTCCACGAAGAAACTCTGCAGGCTGGTGTCAAGGTCATTATCCCAAAGCTGGTTGATTGTGGCATTAACATTGCTTGTCCAGAACCCCTCATCTGATCCCCATTTGGCATACCAGCAGTGTTCAGGCGTAGTTACAACTCCACAAGAAAATGCTTTCATTTCTGGACATTTCTTCATAACCACTTTTTTCAGACATGGGAACTTAATAGTGCTTTTCCCAGAATGAAAGGTTGATAAATTAGGCAAGTCAAAGAGTTCCAAGATTTTCAATTGGCTGAAAACAATTTCATCCTCTTCTTCTCCTTTTGCAATTATAGTGCTCATCTTTTTGCATGCAGATAAATGTAGCTCTTGCAGCTGCACCAGGACTTTAGCTACTGATGAATCCATCAAGTGAACCAATCCATGACACGCAACTATTCTAATACACCTCAAGTTGTGGAGAGAGGACAACGACTGAAATAAAGAATTTAATCGACTGCAATCCTCTACCTCGAGAACTTCTAAGTTGTGAAATGATGGGGTTACTTCCAATTTTGTCTTCCATAAATTTACAATTTTAGGAAGTCTAAGGAGACTTAACCTCCTCAAAGGTACAGATATCCCAACTCGACGTTCCTCAGCAGTAAAAAATCCTTCACTTGGAAAGAGTTCAACCAGGAAGGAATCTATCACATGGAGTTCATCAACAATGAACAATAATTCAACGAACCCGAATGGTAAATTAGTCATTGAGATTGACCATTTATACACATCCGAACCCAACAATGCCAGAGCTTTAAGCTTGGGAAACAACACTCTGAGGGACTGACCATGCCATAAGTCTCTCATTACCAATGTGCAGTCTAAAGTCAAAAACGAAACCTGGAAAGCAAAGTCGTGAAATTAGTTTGATCCAGTCAATTTTGTTCCCAGGATGATCCAGACACATTGAAGGATATGAAAAAAAATGGGCGACCAAGAAATGTGTTGAAATAACGACTCTCCACATGGTATGATATTGTCCACTTTGAGCATGAGCTCTCATGACTTTTTTTTTTTTTTTGGGCTTCCCCAAAAGGTCTCATACCAATGGAGATGTATTCATTACTTATAAATCCATGATCATTCCTTAAATTATCCTACGTGGGACTCCCTCCCAACAAAAATATTTAAGCTAGCTATTACCTTAGAGAAAACAAACTGTGTTTTGGTTGTCTCAAATCTTTCTTCCTTCACGAAGATTTCTTCCAATCCACAGCGCTCGAGGACTAAGCTTTCTAGTAATTGAAGATTGGTGGTAAAGGAAGCTGGGAAAAGACTTTTCAGTTCAGGACAACCTTCGACAGTGACACTAGCTATGCTTTGAAAGGTAACCAGTTCTTGAGGAACTCTGTTCCAAACATTCTTCAATCTTGGCAGTTCATGTAAATCCAAGTGTCTCAACTGGCTGGAAAATATTTCACCTTCTTCATTGGCATCGGACCATTGAAATATCTCTTCAATTAATTCACAGCTCCGTATCTCCAACTTTTCGAGACTCTTAAGACTCCTTATTGTATTTGAAGGGAATACAATTCTAAGACTTTGACAACTAGTAAGTTCTATCCTTTTGAGTTTGCTAAACGACTCCATTGTCGGTCTATTAGGCCATATGGTCTTCAATTTGTGCAAGCCTTTAAGTACTAACGTTTTCAAACTCGGAAATGTAACCTGCAACATTCATACTCGAGTTGTCAAAGAATTAGAGAGGGATATGGCACACAAGAAAAGGCATCAACCTTTGTACTTTTCCTTGCAAAAGTAGTACAGCACAGTCCATATTTTCTTTCAAACGTTGCAGCATAGCATTATATCATTGTAGTAAAAATCCTTTAGAATGTCGGATAGAAAATCAATGAGGTGATAACTAGGATACATGCTTGGATTTAGTGAAAGAAAACAACATTCAAATACGTCGTTTTTTCGTTCAACATTCTAATGCTTTTTCTACTCCAAGGGCAATTTTAAAACGTTATGAAAGCTTAAGGATAATATTGCAACTTTGGAAAAAATATGAGTTTCTTTTCAAACTAGTGACAAAATTTAAGGCCTTGTTACAACGATGTGAGACAATATGAAATGAATACTCCAGGAGCCATAAATGGGAGCTCTAAGCTAAAAATTATGATATGGGATTAAAGACTAATTTATGAATGCTGTAGACCATCCTGCCTTTCTCATATAAAGGAAATAGCATGGCAAGAAGACAAAATATATGAACTACGTGCATTTCATTTCTAGGGAATTTCTGCATACCTGCTCATTAAAAAATGGGATGCAATCGCTCAGTTCGTATTCCTGGGCAATTTCTGAATGTTGTTGTACATCATCCTGGATTTTTTGTCTGAGCCGATCCACTTTCAAGCAGAAACTTGTAAGCTGAGGTAATCCAGTTAAGGATAAGGAGCTTAATTTACTACACTCAAACTGGCTCGTGGCCTCATTTTCCATAGCAACAATCGTCTCAATCATTTCACAGTTAGAAACATGGATCTGTTGAAGATTTGAAAGGCCACTCATAATGGATGAATAAAAGAGATTCCTCAGTATTTTACAATCCTCCACTTTTATGATTTTCAATTTGTTAAAAGGAACAACTCTGAGACGCTCATTAATTATACTCTGTAGGCTCTTCATTCTATTAAGAGCTAACAACTCCAAATTAGTGAATCCTTTAAGTGAAGCTTCACTCACTAAATATTGTTCATCAAAGTGATGAAAAACAAGATGCTTCAAAGGTGGTACATCTTTTTTATCCAATTCAAATAAAATATGATTACCAATCGTGACTGGTACTTCTAAGTGTAATTCTTCAGATTCACAGAGTAACCTTTTTATCCCCTCACTCAAAAGAATTTCTGAATCGACCTTGAGACACATCACTTTGAAGGTGTTAAACGTATAATCTGGCCACTCCCTACCAATGACTATTTGAAATCTTTCCAATTTCAGTTTGTCTAAAAACAATTGTTTTGGCATAATGCTAGCATCCGGAACACATAAACATAAAGTAGTAAGGCAAGTCAAAAAATGTAGTTCCAAAAGGCTGGCATTCTTTGTTTTACTGGTCAATCCCACCCCATCCCATCCAACAAAACTCTCCTCCATATCCAACTCTTCTAATTTTGTCAATTTTGAAAGCACATTAGGTGGAATCATCTCTAGTTTGTAGCAATATTTTAAATCTAATGACTTGAGTTGTGTCAATTGGCCAAGAGCTGGAGGTAATTCTTTGATATAACATCCTCTTAAGCTAAGAATTTCAAGTTCCTTCAGCTCCTTAATCATGTCCATGTTCCCCAACTCACAAAACCATAGACGTAAAATTCGAAGGTATGCCAAGGAGTGGAATGATGACAGCGAAATCTGCATATTGTGCAACTCTAAAACTTTGAGTTTTGCCAATTCCATCAAGAAGTCTTCTGGCATATGAATACATGGATCGAAAGAAGTACCTTGAACCAGTACCAACAGCTCAAGTTTTGGAAACATCATCTTTTGAGGAAGATTGTGAAAGTTTTCAGTATTTATTAAGACTGCATTGCATTTTCTGAATGCACCATCCTTTCTCCATTCAGTAGATCCTCGCCCATAACTCATTGTACACATCCTATCATCTCTGTATGCAATTGAAATAGCAACATTGCGAACGACATCATGCATCTTAACAAAATTGTCCCCTCGATCTGAATCTAAAAGTAAACAACTAGATTTGAGAACATCAACCAATTTGACCATTCTGTCTCTTGCATCAGCCAAAGAATTGATATGCTGTAGCAATCTCAGACCAAAAGCATATATGAGCAATTTTTCCATGTTTATGTCATAATCTTCATGAAACACACTACAAAGTAGGAATAGTAACTTGGCTTCTTCACTTTCTACATACTTATAACTTAGTTCAACTGAGGCATGAGCTTCTTTGCCCACCCCTTCATTTACTGCAGCAGGGTTTTGTAGCTGTTTTAAGGCATCCCTCCAAATGGGCAAAGGTTTTCCACTCAATGCCTTCGCAACCGTACTAAGTGCAATTGGCAACCCTACACATTCCTTTGCTACCTCAGATGCTACGGACTTCAAGACTGAAATTTCAAGCGATTCACCTGCCTTGCTTTTGAAGAAATTCCATGATTCTTCTTCATTGAGAAACTTTACCTCAAAAGTATTACGAATAGACATTTTATTGTATAATACATGGTGATGTCTTGAAGTGATGAGTATCTTACATCTTTCGCGGTCTTCCCCATAAGGAATTCCGACAGTTTCTAAATCAAGTTCCTCCCACATATCATCTAACACTACAAGAATCTTATTCTCCTTCTTCAACCTCTTTTGTAATAAGGCTGCTCTTCCCTCAACACTTTCTTGTTTAAAAGACAAGCTTAGCATGTCGCCAATTTTTGACTGAATACTTCTAATATCCGGAATCTGGCCTATAGTTACCATAACCACTTCGTCAAATAATCTGACCTCCCTAACATGTCTTGAAATTTCTTTGACTAGCATAGTTTTGCCAACACCACCCATCCCATACACTCCAACCATGCTGACTTTAGAATCTATCAGTGCCGCAATGATTTCATTCATAACTGATATTCTTGACCCAAAGGTTAGGAAGCCCTTGATAGCTGAACTCCCCACCCCTGGTAGAGCTCCTGGAATTGATACTTTGTCAAAATTTCCTTCTTCCTTCATCTTTTTGACATTGTCTGCCTCTATCTTTGCTTTTTTACTTAACTGGTACCTCTGGAAAGAAAAGAAGCATGAACCACTGCAGCATTTATTCCCTGATTGGTTGCCATCTAAGAGGAAAATCTTAATTTCTTTGTCGACCTTATCCACCTTGATTAGCCATTCCTGAACGTCAACTAAAATATCTTCAGCATTTCTTCTTGCCTCATCAACCTTATGCTGCACCCTGCGTCTGGTATTTTCTAGGACACTAAGTTGGTATTCAAGATCCGTAACATAGCTTTGGTAGAAAATAAGATAACCCATCTGACGTCCAATGGGTTTAACCATGCACTCACCAACTTTTGCAACAACAGAAATAACGATATCCATTTTCCTCCTTTAAGCTTTTATGGAGGACTCATACCAAGTAAATCAATGAAGAACAATAAAATGACGACAATCACAATGGATATTAAGGCAGAGTATTGTGAATACGCACTGCAATGTTCTTCTGGTGCAATTCAGGAAAACTCTGCCTCTCCTCTCGTTGCTCTCTTCTAGCCTGCACACACACACACACCAAAAAAAAAAAACTGCTATTAACTTCACAAATAGAGGAACAATCAAGCAGCTAATTGGAAAAAGTTAGAAATATGACAGATTTTGGAGAGTGGAAGTGCTTGGAAGCTCATAATATAGATAGATATATTTAATTACAAGTGAGCCTAAATGCTTGGTTAATGGTTACCATTAATTTAATTATATCAATCATTCAACGCTCTCTTCACTCAGTGCAAATGGAAATCAATATTAATTGGAAATAAAAATAAAGGGCTTCAACTCAAAATCTAAATTAAGTTCTAATTCCCATGAATCAATAGTTTGGAATGGTAGATAGTGACCAAACAAATAAAACCAAATTTCCATTATTCATTAATCAAGGGATTCATTTATTTTAGACTTAAATTTGAGAAAAATTTAAAATTGTTAAATAATTGGTAAATCTTTAGGAATTTGGTTATAATTTTATTCATGACGATCATGTTAAATCGGTTTAAATCTACCATTAATATCAGAGTGGAGCAGCCGAAGCGTGGTGGGTCCATATCCCACAAGTCCGCATGATCAAAACTTCGGCTATGATGATAAACATAATCAAAGCTATGAAAAATTAATCATCCTTACCAAGAGCAGGGGATGCTTAAAATATTAGACTCCAAATATTTTACAAATTATAGGGAGAGAGCCACTTTATTAAAGTAAACACTTGCGTGGCTTCTTCTCGTAATAACGTGAATATTTTTTCCCATTATTGTTAGTATTTTTTTATTATTATTATTATTGGGAAAACATCATCTGAAGAACGAGTTCTCGTAGGCAGCCAAAGGTACAACCAGGAGAGAAGTAAACAGGAATTTCAATAATGTACTGAAAATACAACATCAAATCGTGCGTACCTGGATTCAGACATCGCCGAAGCGCAGGCGAAGTAGGGATTCGTCAAGAACCATCTCAAAACAACTCCTCCCGATCGATTAACTTGGTGTAGGTGTAAGAAGGGTATGAATCTGAGTTGAAGCAAATTAGCAAAAGAAATCAAGAGGCTACCATAGCTTTTGAAAGCTCGGAGAATTCTGACATTTTCCAGTCTTCGCCAAATAAGTCAACTAGTACATTCATTGTTCTCCCACCAGAATAAGTGAGAGTAATCAAAAGAACTAAGTTACTATCTATACCAATCTTGTAACTTTAACGACCATTTTGTTTGTAGCATAGTTTGAAAATAAGGATAATTACTAAAATTACTGAGGTAAAAACACCCTAATCCAAAAACTCAAAATTCACCCAACAGTAAATTTAATATAAATTTATTAAATTTGTAATTTATACTCCCAATCAATTTTTAATAAAATATTAAAACATGATCATGGTTTATAATCTAAGAATATACTTTTTGAGGCGTCCAAAGCAAAGCCATGAGAATTTATGTTCAAAGTGGACAATATTATATCATTGTAGAGAATCGTGTTCGTCTAACATTTAATATGAGATTGAGTTGGAAATTGGAATGGCTAAAGAAATTAATTTCTATTTTAATTGTTTATATTGTTTAATTAGTTATTTAGTTTAGCGTGCTTAATTAGTTTGTATTTTTTATCCTTTAATTTACTTCCAAAATATACCATGATTAAAATTAAAGACGTTTTAATATTAAAGTAAAATGTGACGGAATAGTTACCATTCACTCATCGCAATTCTTTGTTAGGTGACTTTTTGTAAATTTGTATAAAATAAATGTGAGTAAAGACAAAGTATGTTGAAAAGATAATGTGTTGGTCGATAAAATAATATTAAATAAGTAATGTGATCATGTCGCATAAGAACATGGGACACACAAAGATATATGAGGATAGTCTCGGATAAGTAATGTAGTCATATTACAGGAGAACGCGGGTTACATAAAAAATAGTTATTTATAAAAACAATCCTAATTTCATACGAAATAAATCGCTTAATGATTAAATTATTCGAACTAAAACCAATGATCTAAAAATTACTCCAACAAGACCAAAATTAATCTCACTTACAAGAATAAAAAAAGACATTCCAATGCAAAATAAGATGAAAAAATCCATAAATTTAGTTTAAAATAGACAAGAAAGCCGACATTAGTAAAAGCAGATGAACATCTCAGTTAACATTTATACTCAAAATCTGAATTGCATACTAAATAAGCAGCAAACTTCAAGTGCCCAAAATCAAAATCTGTATCTTATTGATAACACCCAGCACGCTAGCTACCCATCTATCTACATAACTAAGATATTCCTTTACATGTTTTCTGCAATCCTCTACACCTTACCTTACCTTCAATGGTGCAAAATGAATCCGAGCACAACGCAAATAAGCGCCACCATACAGATAAACAAAGGAGGAAAACCAACTTGATTGCTCGCCCTGCCCTTCCTACTCAGTTCCATCTGTGAAAATAGCGAGATGAAACATGGAATCACGAGACGATATAGAAGGTAGAGAAATCTTGCATATAAGTATTGAGGAACTATCTGAAATAAAATGGTATACGAAAACTGGGTGTCCATGAACAGTTCAATGGGCAAGATGAATGAATTTCCTAATAGCAGTACTTCCAAAATATAACATGCAGCTGAATTGAATTACAATGTTTCTTGATTGATTTCGTGAAGTAAATACAGACACAATTATATGCAAGGACCCTAAGAAGACTTTGCAGCCAGTCCAAATTCAGTTCTGAAAGACAATGCCGATTTCTAACTTTTCAAGTGGGAACTTTCAACCCAGAGAACCCCCACTCTGAAGACTGTTAGGAATCACAACTCTCCACGATGGTATGATATTGTCCACTTTGAGCATAAGCTCTCTTCCAACAATCCTCAACAAAGACATCTCCTCCTCACCGTCGGGGACCTGGGGTAAAGCTAGACTTGGCCCTTTTGAATCTAAGCAAAAAGTCCCTAATCTCTCTAGTATTAGGGTACTCCTTAGGTGACCAGGCTTGAATATTGCTATCAAATGGACATCATAAGAATCTAAACATGGAAGAACGGCATCCACTAAACAGAAAAATATGGTTCAGGAAGTTACCAATTTCTCCTTCAAGTGTTTTACTTCTTGAGCACTTAATCTCCTCGACTCGAACAGCATTGAAATGGTACCTTGAGCCTATTAAACAATGGGACAAAAGATCATCATTACAATTGTATTGGGCGCCATAAAAAGTAAAAATGGAGAAATGAATATTAGGAAAGTAGTTTTTTCCATTTCTATCAACATTTCATTTCTGGGTACTGAGATTATGATAAAATGAAGTCTTAAAAGGAATGATAATAAACAGATGATAACAAATTTTAAGAATCAATCTTGTAGCACACAACAAAGCTTCTCTAAATGCAATGAAAAATCAAAATCAACCGCAAAAGTTGCATCATTGTACATCCAACCCAAGGAGCCTTATAACCCATGTCCGGAAGACATGACTTTATTGGCTCCCGGGATTGCAATTTGTAACAGAGTAAAATGAATCTTATCAGAAGTTAATATTTGACAGAGTGCAGAACTTTCGAGGATGGACATAAAAGATTTTAGTGATTTTTTAAACAATACTAAATTTTTGGCTTCTTTATGGAACTCTCTTTCTAATGGTTTCAAAACTACTTCGATCATAGCATTGCTAACTGGAATGATATGCTATTAGAACATACTCATACATAAGTTCATAGATCACAAATTGAATATGCATGAACGAAGTAAATCAATTAGAGCCACATTTCCGAATTGAATTAGATGAGGACAAACAATTTCACAGACCAGATTCTCAATTATAGCTTAAAACTCACCGGTTCATTATATTCCTACATGTAAAAGCTGAAAAAACACGAGAAAAGCACAAAAGGCAATCAAAACTCACCTCTCCAAGCTTTAATTCAATTTCATTTAGCTTTGATTTCATCTCATCAATGTCCTTAACTAACTTTAGCTGTTCAGCCTTTTTCAGTGTTACCAGGTCCAGTTCTGCTGCTTTCCTTATCTCAGCAGACTTTTGTAATCCCGACACGCTATTGTTCAGCTCTAGGGATTCATCCACACTGTCGGGAAACTGATGCACAGGAGAAAAACTTCAATTGTCAAGAAATTGAAAATCACAGAACAAATCAATTGACAATTCCACCAACGGATTGAACAATGACCAAGCCACGACACTGCACAAGTTAACAGATAGCTTTACAATTTCCTGCAACAATTTGATTTTTTTAAGAAAGGAAACACTTTCTATTCGGGATAAAAAGGAAGACAAGGCACCCTCCCTAGAGAATGTGGAAGAGGTTACAAAGACCACCAACAGATTCTTAGATCAACAACAATTAGGCAGTATAACATCAAATTTAATAAGGAAAATGTTGATGTGATCCCCTTAGGAGCTTTTTTTTTTTTTTTTTTTTTT